GCCGCTGTTGAGCTCACAACAAGGAATAGTCACCAGGTGTGAGTGGGTCTGCACTGTGCTGTGGTGAAGGGTGGACGGGGTTCACCTCTCGGTCAGTCACCTCCTGAGAGACAGGGAAGGGAACCTATCCAACTGTCTCACGGAAGTCTGGGTCTCCCTTTCACCCCCACCTGATTCTGAAACTTCTTGGCTCTTGGTGGTTGGGCAAAGGGGAAATTTATTAAATAACTTTATTTACCAACTCTATTATTAGAGGGAAGAAAAGTCCCTATTGTGAGTATTTCTGTAGAGTTAACAATTTTTTTATGACATAAAGTGTCATCGTGTTTTTTCGTGCCATCCTGCCTCTGTGCCCTACACCTTGGAAGAGGCAATTGAAGACTCTGCGGAAGCTGGTGCTGTTTTCCTTCCAGGACCGGAAAGGCCAAGGAAAGCTGTGAGAAACAGTCTCCACCGAGCTGGATGAATAATCATCCCAGAATCCTGAGATATATAAAGTATACAAATCAATAGAATTTTGTTTTTAAAAAAGTGGCTGCAAGAAAAAAAAAAGATAGCACCAGCCCACAGTGGGCTCACTCCCAGTTGACAATCCACTCCAGGGTGTAGAGGAGGAAATGGACAGCCACTTCCCAGTTATTGAAGGTCTCCCTCCCCAAGGATGGAAAGAGGCAGCTGCAGGGACCCCAACGTGGCAGCCATGAAATATTTTGGCTTAAAATTAATTAGAAGAAAAAAGGTTTAATGCATATAATTGATCTGTTAAATGGATGGATTCATAGAGTACCATAAAAAAATAACTGGGTTCTAAGCCCTCTCTCCTCCCCTGTCCTCTGCTCCAGTGTATACAGCACATACACACACGTTCACTTGGCACCCATATATCTTGCCAGGCCCCTGGGAGTGATCAAGGGCCTATGCCTTACCTTTGGGCTCATGGGTTATCAAAACTTCACTGGACTTTCAATTCCCCAAGAGATCTCAGTTCAGCAATTGGTACCTCTTAGTCCCGTGAGGTAGGGGGTCTTGGATCTTCAGAGTGAGCTGTTCTTCCTTCCCCAGCTCTCGCCTGTGCTAGCCACGACCACTGGGCAAGTGATGGTTGGCTTCTTACAGTCTCTGCCTCTTTAACTGTCTCTTGCGTCCGATGTGATCCCAGCTAGTTAGTCTGGGGTTGTGGGATGAGGGTACAGGATAAGACTGGCCTTATTCTCTTCTTTCTTCTGCTCCTGACACATTTTGAAGTAGAGTTCATATGAGCTCAGTGAGCTCTCACCTTCACCCCTGTTTTTGGGAGCCATGGGTGGGTCTTTGAAGGCCCCACTCCTGCAAAGCAGAGGATGCTGAGAGAGCAGTTGATGGGCTGGCCTGTGTCTCCTCCATCCTTCCCAGGAAATATGTGACCCTGCTCGCTAATACTTTTTCACCCATCCAGACCATGCTCTGGGGGATTTAGAGAAAGCTGAAGCTTATCTCTATCCATGTGCCTGGGGCTGCCAATGCTGGCCCCACTGAGTGGGACCAGGGCAAAATAGGGCTCTGAAGCAGGACCAGGTCATTAGTGCAGTAAAGTTGCTACTTGCACCAAACACCTGGAAAGCCCTAGGGTATCAGAGGCATTGGCAGTGGAGCACACTTGGAGCTATGTTAAGCCTCAGTGGGAGAGGCACACATGAAGGGTCTGCAGTATGATTTCCCTTCATACGGCTTTTGTAGGGCACTCCTGCCACATTACCGGACACCGGTAGACATGGTCACCAGGCTTCCAAGTGTCTGGACCTGCCCATCATGATCTGTCATACCTTCCAAGTAAGGTTGAGAGGGCTCAGTGAGTCAATACAAGAAGAAGGTGGTTTGTCTGGGGTTGAGCACAGGTAAGCCTGGAGGGTATGAACTAGGGCCTCCACTGGGCCCCCTCCTAGCTGGCATCTCTGACTGTATGGGGGACCCGAGGCCATTGTTACATGATCTGCATGTCTGATTCATGGCTTTGGTCTAACCACTGGATCAAAGAGTCATCTTAGAATCAAAGGTGCCTGTGAGCTGTGTCTGCGCGCGGGTGTATCTTATTCTGTTAGGATTTTAAGCCAAAAGCTGATGATTTGCAGATTCGCTGAGTTTTCAGTGACCTTTGGAAATTGCTTCTTCATGCTAGTAACTTGACATTTTTGTGTAGTTTTATTTTGTTATTTAAAAATTTTATTTACTTTTATTGAGTTAACTTTTTTTTTAAGATTTATTTATTTATTTATACAAGCACTGGGTATAGTCAGAAGTGTGGGAGGGTGAGAGGATTCACCAGAGACAGGTAGGAGCAGAACAGGCAGACTGAAGAAATACACTGCTGAGGGGAGCAACGGGCATGGCAGGAGAGGTCTGCGAGCCATGTGGGACCCTTGCTGGAGGCCGGGGATCGAACCAGCGCTGCAGAGGCTGCGGGGAGGCCCTTAACTTTGTTTTTTATCATTTTTGTGCCTTAGTTGTAGAGGATCTCCCCTTCCTGGTGTTGTTACTATACCAACCCTCCATGAAAGCACCTGCAGTCTAGCCCCATAGTCCATTATGCTCCACTCTATTTTGTTCTTCTCCCTCCTTCCTCCACCCCTGATAGTCACAGTTCTGTAATCAACTTTCTAGGGTTTTCTGTTTGGCTTTAACCCTTTGTTTGGTTTATCTATATTTCACATTTAAGTGACACCATCAGTATTTCATCTTTTTTCTTCTGACTTATTTCACTTAGCAACATCCCCTCCACTTCCATCCATGTTGCCACAAATGGCAAGAGCTTATCTTTTTGATAGCTGCATAGTGTTCCATTCATCTATTTGGGCACTAAGTCTGTTTCCATAGTTTGGCTATTTTAAGTAGTGCTGCAATGTACATCTTAGTGAATTTTTCCCTCTTGATTTCTTTTTATTTAGATGTTGATGTCATTGTCATCAATGGTAACGACATAGTGTTGGATGACTTCAGAGGAATAGCATTGACAGTGGTATAAAAACAAACATTCTCTTTCACTTGGTAAATGTGCCTGGAGCAAATTCCATGGTATCCTTTTTGTGACACAAATCTCAGGATGGATGTTCATCATTGAAGCCACCAGTGGTTATGAGAATTTACTTAAAATGAATGATTTTGCTTAATTAGTTGAGGATCATAAAAATTATCTAATAAATTGGCACATTTTAAGAGAGGACTTTATAAGCTGTGAAATGTATGTGGTCTCAGAAATTAGACAAGGAATTAGCAAATGCATGCTCCAAAGGGTAAAATTTCTTCCCACTCAAAAATAGACTAACAGCCAGAGATCACAGACATTCTCTGCAGATGTATGCCCTAGAGGCTGGGTCATTTGCTTTATTCTCTTTCAACTCTTAGTTGCTTGCAGGTCCAGGACTATCTAAAAGAGAGTAAGGTACTTATCTCAAGAATAAAATGTACAGAGATGCCAAAAAACCCAGGAAATAATGATAAATTGGATTTTAACACAACTAACAGTCTGGATTTAACCCTGACTGTCTGACTCATCTCAATTGCCTCTCCCTGATTCTGCCCTGTGTACCCACCTGAATACGTCGCTGTCTTCCCTCCAGGCTGAAAGCTGCCTGGGGAAGATGCCATCTCTGTCCTTCTCACCATGGTGTCTGGAGGTCACACTGGTTGTGCTCAATACGCCTTTCTTTTGTGAATGAATGAAGAGATCATTTTCAGTGGCAGGAGGGCTAGAACACAGGTAATTCAGGCCACCTGCTCCCCATGTAGCTGTTAGTCACCTCTGTGGACCTCATCTTTGGAAAGCCATGATTGAACAGGAGGAACACTAGGTGTCCTGCAGTTCTTTGCAGCCTTCTTTACTGGTAATAGGGCCAGTTGTCACCACAGGGGTTCATCCAACCAGCCAGCAAAATGAATCACATGCCATCTGAGTGCCTGGTGGTGGGCTGTAGCCTGGAGAATAATGAGCAGATGCCAGGGGCTCTGCCCCAGGAGCCCATGGTGCCCATGGAGGCAGATGTGTGGCACACAGAGAGTCTTAAGGAGAATGGCTCTAAGAGCATGTGGAAAGAGCATGAGAGCAGGACACACCATCTCCCAGGGAGCTCAGTTTGTGCAGAGGGTCTGAACTGAGAGTGAAGGAGAAGTAGGAATGTGTCAGCCAGAGAAGAAGGGGCCAGGCTTTCTAGTCCCGGCAAGAACATGTGTGTGCCTGGCCTGCTTTCTTTCCAATTCCCAGAGACTGACATATGGAAGACCGTTGGCTCTAAGTATAGAAAGGGGCTTTGAAAATTAATCTCACAGGTGGAGGAGAAAGTGATCTTTAGCCCAGTGAGTCGAGGAGTTACACCACCAGGTTTTCATCTTTGCAATGCCAAGCTTTGATGGTTTTTAAAATAATCCATTCTGAAGAGGGTCTAAAACTTTTCTCCATTCTGGTAGAGAAAATGATGGCACCTCCTTGACTGGAGATGGGATATAAGATTCAGGACTAGATAAGGTAGAGAAGTGTGTGTGTGTGTGTGTGTGTGTGTGTGTGTGTGTGTGTGTATACTCATGCATGGCAAGATTTCATGAGAGAGTGTAACTTACAGGTTAGAGTTGTATATGCCAGAATAAAGGAAAAAGGTGATGAGAAGAACTCTGATGCGCCCAGTGAGTCAGTAAGTATAAGCAGGGCTAATCCTATGATGCTTAAGATTGATGGGAGGAGAATAATGAACGTATTTCTTTATATTGGAAAAGTTCCCTTGGTGGTTAGACAATATGATACCATATATCACTCATTTTATCTACTATCTTAATACTCCATCAGCAAATAACCTTGGTGGTCGCACCCAGAAGTTAAGATACCTAAAGCAGAAAGCCCGGTGAGCAAGAGGGGGGCTCTGGTGCTGTCAGTTTGGCTTGTTTATGACAATGACCCCTGGGGCCATTGTGTGGCTATAAACCAGCCTCTGGATTGACACCTCCTTGTGAAGTTTCCCTCTGGGTGCCTTTTCTCCTTGGAAAATTCAGCCTGGATTTCTTCAGAGTCTTCACTGCCTGGAGGTCATTTGGGAACTCCCTGGTTTCTTCTGAGAGGATTTGAGTTCTGGTGAGCACAGCCTAAAGCTCCCTGGTGAGCCAGGAGGACAATGGAAGCCTCTTTCACTGCCATCAGGCCCCAATTCCTGGTTTCACAAAGGGGGTTATACTTGCTAATGGCCAGGGGTGCTCAGACACCATCTAATTGTGTTCTTCTCCCCTGGGAGCCCCTCTCTAGTTGGGGGACTCAGGGCTGGTTGTTTAGGTTGTCGCCCAAACTCCAGATGTGACCTCTTTCCTCTGTCCTGCTCTTAGACAGGATAACTTTCCTGCATGAAAATGAAGCTGATTTGGTGCTGGACAAACTCCGTCAAAGAACAGCATTCATATCTGGTTGTACATTTTATTGGCTCAAATCCAACCTTGAGTAGTAAGTACCTCCTGTCATGACCTGCGAATTATAAGCTGCTACCTGAACGAGGGCGAGACTGTGTCTGATGGTCCAGATGTAATCAGATATGGATGATAATGCAGTAACAAGAAGGGCCTGGGTGTTGTGTCCCAGTGCAGTGGGAAGGAGTTCTGTGACCCATTAGGCATGTCTGGTTGTGGGCAAAGGGCAGTGACCACACACTGAGGACCAGTAATCCAACTCCCACCCAGAGAGAGTGGGAGATTGGGGATCCTTTACTCAGTGTTGGCAATGGGGGAGGTCTAGGCTGCTTGCTCAGATGGGTGGAGGTGAGGCCTTTCCTGTGGGTGCTTGACTGGAGTAGAATAGTCATTGTCTAAAGCATTGTTTCCTGACCCCCTCCCCCCTCCTTTCCTGTTCTCTGACTATGAAGAATGGGCTTTATTGGGACATTTTTTTCTAGTCTGTGCCTATTGGCATTCGACTTGCTCTGTTTTTTCAGCTCTGAGTCTGGAATACATGAGACAAACTAACAGCCTGCAGAACTCCCCACCATATATTTCTTGGGGTTCAAGGTCCCTCGCTGGTCTGTGTTCTCTCCTTTCAGTCTGTTTACATGTATTTTCATATGAAATTCCGAGTTTCTAGTTGTCCTTAGGGAGAGGAATAGAGATAAGTCTGCTTATTCTATCTTCCTAGGAGCTTGTTCAAATTTTAATATGGAATGAAAGCAAGAAAGAAACACCTTGGTTTAGACTAAGACACCAATTTGGTTAAAATAATTTGTCTACCCTCATGTCTATGTCATAGCATGGACACTCACAGGCGTGGGAATTCCCCTAAATGTGACTTCCTTATCTTTGGAGAGTGGGCTAGTTTCTGAATTTCTCAAAGTAACCAATTTTTAATTTTTATAAAACTATAAGAAATCTTATATAAAAAGCATTTCCTATTAGTTTAAAAAATTGTTTGGCACGGTCTCTAGGACTGGCCATTTTACCTACCCTGCCAAACTCACAGTGCAGTAATGAGAAGGGTCTGGATGTTGTGGGAAGGAGTTCTGTGATCCCCTAGGAATGTCTGGGCATAGGCAAGAGAAACATAAATAAATATGTACTAGATATTAATATACTTTCTAGAAAAATTACAGGAAGTTTGGGTATGAAATGAGGTCGTACCATAGATAGGGGATATAAGTAAGAGTTTCCTTTTCCTGTTACATTTCCATGATCTTCCTTCAACCACTTCTAAGAATAGATGGATGACTGTGTACTCTCTTTTATAAGTAATCACATCAGAAGAGAAATGTTTTCCCCACCAGTTTGGTGCTTGGTAAACACATACCTCACTTTTTTTTTTTTTTTTTGACCCAGGAAGCTATTAGTGCAATATGTCTATTTTTAACTGCTTTCTAGTTAGAGGGTTCCAGGTGGGAACCATACCTCTTGGTTTCTATGTTTGGCTCTGAAACTCATGCTGAATAAGACCTTCACCTTGACATACTTCATTTCCCCTTCTGGAAGCTACAGGGGTTGTCGGTTCCTATATGGAGAATGGCCAAAAACAAATCTTTACGTTAAAAAGAAACCCTGACTGGCCACAAGATTATGAATTTCTGCCCTCCCTCCATTACATCCAAATTTGGGTTTTTTTTGTTATTGAGCCCAAGGATTCATGCAGCTCAAACAAAGTAATATACATTATAAATTAAAAACCAATTTTCCTCTTGCTTTGGAAATCAAAATGCAGGGTTTGTCAAATCCTTCCTTGGAAAACTGGTCCTTTACAACTGAAAAACTAGGAGACACAGTTTATTTGTCTTGGATGAAAAACCAGAAATACTCAAAAACTATTTTTTTTATATACCTGTGTTTCAAATATGACAAGACAATTTGAGAGGTCACCTGGTCTACCCTCAGCCTCCGCCATGGAAATCACTTTCATGATCGGCATCATCATCATTGACTAGCAATGACAATTTACTCATGAACAGCAAAAAATACAAAGAGGAATTATTTTCTAGCTGCCAGGTGTGAATTGAAAAGATTCTTCTGTTTGTTTTGGTAATTCAATTGCCCAAATATGCACAGTTGTCCTTGAGCATTCAGGCCCATTTTTTCCAGCTAAGTTAACATGCCCGAGGAGGTCAGTTTTACTCTGAGACAAAGGGGGGGTCCCTGTGGATTGCTGTGTTTTCAAATGTTAACCTAGTCATTTGAAAACCTTGGCTATCTGTTGCTTACATGCAGATCTGGCATATGCTACCTTGTTTCCTGATGAGAAGAGGATAGAACTGCAGAATCCATACTCCCTGCCTGGATGCTGTGGAATCTAAGTTGTCATATGTAAAGAGAGACAGAGATTGGGGACATCAAAGACAAGAGACTGGGAAAATCCAAGATTGAGGACTGTTTTAGCCTCAATCTGCTGGAAGATGGCCAACTTCTATCTGCCATAAACTTATAAAGAAACAGATTTCCAAACATCAGAAACTCTACTTTACACACTAACTTCTGCTAAAAGATGCCTGAGGTCCACAATGATCCATCTTCAAGCAGGCATGGTGTTGAGAGCAGAGGTGACACTTGAATCATGTTGAGATGGCATTATGACAAAGGGACCCAGAAATGCATGCCTCCCATTTTATAATCATCACTTTCATTGTGGGACTACAGGAGGGATCTCACATGTCAGAGACAAAGTAAATGCGGATCAAAACTACTCCCAGCCTGTTAGTAATGGTGTCCCCCAGCTAGATTGGAGGAGGGGTTCCTCTCTGCTAATTTCCTATCTGACCATCAGGTAGATAGCTTTGGAGAGAGAAATCCCTTGCATACTTTGGTGAGGAGGAGATGAGAAGACAGGGAGGAAATTCAAAGCATGACTCAAGACAACAACATCAGCATCACCTGAAAGTTTGTAAGAGATGCAGAATCTGGGGCTCCAGCCAATACCTACCCAATCAAAACCACTATTTAGAACAAGATCTTCATGTGATTTGCTACGCATTCATGTTAGAGGAGCCTTCTCTCATTGGCATGTCTGTGCCATCATACACAACGATCCTGCTCTCTAATCAGGGGACTTTCTACCCCAAGTCTGATCAATTGGTTACTACTCTATTATTTGGAGGAACAGAGACTGGAGGAGCTGAGACTGCCTGCCAACTGCTTGTGTAAAATGCTAGTTTTCAATTTCTCTACTGTTGGATTTTCTCTCCATATTTGTTTGTGAGAGACTCCTGACAAAATAGCACAGACTGGGTTGCTGGCACCATGAATGCTGACTTTTTCAAAGTCCTGGAAGCTCAAGATAAGGGTTTTGTATGGCAAATTTATGCTGCGGGATCTCTTCCTAGCTTGCAGGTGACCACCTTCTTAGAGACCCTTTTCATAAAGGCACTAACTCCATCACAAAGACTCCACCCTCAAGACTTTGTCTAGTCATATAGTTACCTCCAAAACACCCCATCTCCTAATTACCGTCATGTTCAGGATTAGAACTTGAACATATGAATTTGAGGGACCACCATTCAGTCCACAGCAGTACTCATGTGCAGTGTGACTTTAGAAGATGCAACATTGCCCAAACTTTTTAAGTTACAGAACCCTGTTTTGAGAGTTCACACATGGTGTGATTAATGTTTCAGAACATGGTATGGGAAGCTCTCCTCCATGAGGAGTTGTTCTTGTTGAAGCGTGTGGAATAAAGTCCCTCCTCAGCATCCATCCTGATAGGAGATGGAGTTTAATGGTTTGCAGCTCGAATTTTCGAAGGTTAAGCCATCCACAGGGAAGTGACATCTCATATGTGAGGGTTAGGAAGCTGAGTCAGTGCCTAAAGCAAAATGGCATTTTAGTCAAAATGTTCTTTCAGATACTATTAGAGATTATAGACTGACTTGCCAACCATCAGTCATGAAGTCTGATATAGCTTTTGAGGTATCAAGTGCTGGCACTTGTCACTCTTTCTTGAGGTGAGTGCCAGGTCAAGTATCTAGACACTCTATTTTGAAGAGCATGCATCTTTAACTTTTAGAATCACATCCAACATGAGTTGTGCACATTTTAGGCTTAGGGTGGAATGAAGACACTGAAGGATCAGTGTATTCATGTCTCCTGTCTGTGGTGGGCACATGCTTGCTGGACTTGCCCATGGGATTATCTCTACTATATTAATATTTCTGTGTCTCTTTCTCTTAACATGTATTATTGAATGTACTTTCACTAGATTAACATATGCTGCAATGCCTCTCTGTTGTGCATGCAATTTCAGAGAGGATTTTTTGCCAGGATGAAGGCCAGATGCTTTGTTTAGAAAGATTACAAGGTAAATTTCGTGTAGTCCAATTGTCTGATCCTTAAGTCTTAATGATTTCAGACTTTTAACAACAGCATATCATTTCTCTAGTTAATCAAGACCACTGAGCATATGTGCCCAAATGTCAATTTACATTGAGAAATACAGCTATTGTACAGACTGGAATGCTGGTATCAGCAGGTCGTCACAATTTTCATGTATCCAGCCTACCTGGAAAGCCAAATTATGTTTATAAAAGTAATTCTAAAATTTTCAGCATGAAATGAAACTGGCCCAAGGTTGTTTGCCAAAAGATTTTGGTGGACTGAGGGTTAATTCATCTCTCAAGCAAGTGAGTCATTGTGTTCACTTGTATTTTGGGAAAGGTCTGTGAACTTGGCAATTGGGAAATTACATGGACCAATGGCAGACAAATCACTTTCATGTCCACCTGAATTCACCTTCTCCCACACCTTCACAGAGAACTAAACTTATGTGGTTTCCAGGGAAAGCAGAATAAGGTTCGCTGCTCAGCGTGATGACCACTTCCCTTTGTGTTGCTTTGTATAATGGGATGAGGACCTTTACTCTCCCCCCTAACTCACTTTGTTGGCCAAGTCTGTGGCCAACACAGGAGAAAATTACAGCCTGAGGGCCGCCACTAAGACTTCGGGTGGTATTTTCTTTTAGAGTCTCTTTTATTGAAGGATCATTAATCTGAGCAGTGGAACTTTCCCCCCTCATGAAGGTCACACCCCTAACCTCCCATGGATAACAAGATTCCAACTATTAAGATGAAACTTGCATTTTCCCACCCTTCCTTCTCTTATTTATAACCCTTACTTCCTCTCCACTTCCTCCTGAGAAGTGTTGATCATTAATCATATAAATATTTCTTCATTTTCTTATTTCTGTCTATTGACCTAAGTGCAGCCTAAGGCAGGGGTTCACAAAGCCTTTCTAAAAGCCCTTGGTAAATATTTTTGCTCTGTGGGCCATGCAGTCTTTGTCAACCAAACCCTTAGCTTTACCTGAGAAACACAAAAACCACCCAGGAGAATACAAGCATGAAAGAGTTTGGCTGTGCTCCAATAAACTTAATTTTTGGATGCAAAAACTTAAGTTTCATATATTTTTTATGTGTAACAAAATGTTCTTTTGCTTTTTTTCCCAAAATATATAAAATGACTTGAAGCTCCTGGCCTGTCCAAGAAGCAGATGGCAGGCTGTAGTTTGCGGATCCTGGCTCTAAGCAAGAGAACTGCCTCTGGTTTGGGAAACTAGGGCACTTCCCTGGCTTTCTGTCTGGACCTTGGTGCAGGAAGGTGGGATCCTTTAGCAATTGCAAATGTGGGCTTTGTAATCAGACACAACTAGGTTCAAACCTTGGTATGCATCCCGTCTCTGAACAACAGTTTCCTTATCCATAAAATTCATATTTCTATACCTATGGGATTAACTGATACAACACATGTGAAATGTTTAGTGTAGATTCTGCTATATGGTAAACAAAATACACAGTAGTTCTCATTATACGATTATTGTCAGGTGACCAGTGCTTTCCTCTTGTGACTGGCCTACCTGCCCTCACTTGGGGCACGGCAGTATCCTTTCTGCTGCTCAGGTTTTAAATGAGAGGACATTCAAAACAGTGTCAAGCTCATATCTAAAAATGTCTATGATTTTTTCCTTCTTGTAACATAACCTCTTGCTTTTAAGTGTATTAAAGATAATCAGTATTTTAAAAAGTGTATGTTCTGGGCCTCCCCGGTGGCGCAGCGGTTGAGTGCTGGGTTGTGAAGCTGCCCGCAGCCTCTGCAGCACCGGTTCGATCCCCGGCTGCTCCCCGGCCACCGGAGGAGGGTCCCACATGGCGCGCAGACCTCTCCTGCCGCCCGCTGCTCCCTTCAGCAGTGTACTTCGGTCCTTCTGCCTGCTCTGCTCCCCGCTCTGGCTCTGGTGAATTCTCTCACCCTCTCGCACTTCTGACTGTACCCAGTGCTTGTATAATAAATAAATAAATCAATAAATCTTAAAAAAAAAAAAAAGTGTATGTTCCAAGAGTGGATCTTGGGCTTTTGGAAGACAGAGCTATATTTGTGAGAAACAGGGTGGGAGAAACACAGGAGTTTTTATTCTAGTGGTTTGTATTTAACAGAAGAATTGACCCTTTGTCTCACTTCTTCCTGGTCCAGTTGACAGTTAACATGAAACAAAATTCTTTTGGATTCCTAGGGGAGAGGTGTCATCATCTGAAAAAGAATCTGGCACTCAGTGAGCCCCTTGGCACCTCCATTATGATAGCATGATGTTGATGGCACTCAATTTAAAGAGCCCAGGTGAAAAAAGATCCACAAAATGAAAACAAGGCTGCAAATGCAGATAGCGTATCTTCAGTTCAGCTAAGTGAACTGTGCCATCCAATTATTTCCAATTACAATTGCGTTTCTTTCTTTAATGTTTTCTATGCCGATATCCAAGTTGCTAATGAAGCAGGCCCCTGCTTTATGATCTCCATTGCTGCAACTTGCTGGGCTTAATTGCTTTGTCTCCATAACAGACAGACATTCTGAACAATTAGACAATAATAAGGAAGAAAGACGGGGAAATGGCTTAGATTCTTTCGTTTTAATTACGCTGATAGTGCACCCTACCGTTCTGAATCAATGCTGAAGTGCTATTTTTGATAGCATTCAATAACATCCAACTAGAGCTAATAAATTTATATTTCTAATGCAAAAGAACCCCCTCCTCTGTCTCAGCTGATTGTTGCTTTTTGTAGAACAGCAATACTTTCTACGCACATGGCATGTTTCAGCTCCAGTTTCCTTCACAGTTGTTCTGCTGCTCTGTATTGCTTCTGTTTTAGATAGAGAGAAAATAGAGTTGTTTAAGCTGGCTCAAGTTTGCATAGCATGTTGGGCATTTAGTTGCCCAAATATTTCCAGGAATGCCTCTTGAAATTCATGTTTGCAAGGATGCCTTTTAAAGATGCCAAATTATAAGTAGGATGCTCAGACTCCAGTCAGTTCTGAGTGTTGAGAAATACAAGGTCTGTGTGATCTGGTCCCTGCCTCATCTCCAACTTACATTTCACTCTGCCTGCTGTCTCACGTTGCATTGATCTTTCAGTACCATGGACAGCACAAGCTCAGCCTTGCCTGATGGTCTTGTCTGCCTGTGCCTACGTGGTTTATTTTTATTCTCCTGCCTCAGGTCATGTGCCATCTCCTCAGAGAGGCCTTCCCTGATCCCTTTATCTATTTGCTACTGTTCTTACACGTCTATCCTTTCCATTACTCTCTTTCATTTGGTTGGATTATTTCATTTAACTGTTTCTTCCACCGTACAAATTGTATCACATATTTCCTTCTCTGTGCATTTGTTAATCATCCCCAGGGCAGGGATTACTTCTGCTTTGTTAACCACCATATAACTAGTAAGTTAAAAAGAACTTGAAACTAGTGGGTATTTCATAAACAATTTTTGAGTGAATAAATGTATAAGTGAAAGGATACATCCTTTTTCTTTCCTGCTGTGAGTCCCCGGACAGCTATAGACTGCTGATAACTTATCCAACTTTCCAATTGAAACCAATGTGACTGGCCTCCCTCATAGGACTGTGAATTCCTTGAAGGCAGGGATGTGGCCAGGCAGACTTTTTTATTCCCAATGTCTAACATTGTATCTCTATGTAGTTGTGGATCAGCAAATGTTAGTGAAAGACATAAATGATTCTGAATGAACATTGACTTTGCAATTTGTGTCTCATGTGTGATGACAATAGCTTGTCAAGAAATTAACATACTTAAAAATAGTGTTATTTATTCCCATGTAGGAGAGTGGGAACATTTTCTTATTTCCTTAAAACAATCAAACCCATATTTTTATTTCTTGTTTTAGGTTAGTGATATTTAAATGTCTATACATATATTTATTTTGCTTACATAAGAAGTACAGTATCAGTGTAGAAAATGCAAAAATTTAGAAAAGAGTATAAAAAGAAACCTGTAAAAAGACCCATATGTAATTCTACAGCTTGGATGTAACACTGTTTATCTTGTGTTTCATTACATAATTCTAAGTACACGCACATTTAATTCATTACAAGTAGCAAAAATAAAATGAGTACTTTTGTGTCCTATTTATTATTCATTTATGTATCAAGACCATTTTCACATGTTATTATAATTCTTTGAAGATATAATTTCTCATTATTATGTATTGGCATCTGTCTTGAAGTGATATCCTAATGGATTTCAAAGCTATTTACCATTCATGAATGATCCATGTTTTATTTATTTATTATATTATGTTTCTTCATATTACCTATTTTGTGTATCTCCTATTTTCTTATTATACTTGTAAGTAGTTTATAGCTTATCTTATAAACTACTTATAAATCTTTTATATATGAGATACTTAAAAATTTTATATTTATATTTGTTATTACTGGTATATAGAAAGCTCTTGATTTTAAATATTTATCTAATACCCATAGAGTTTGTTAGCCTTTATTCTTAAAT